CAATTCCTGTTGGAAAAAACCACCAAGCCATTTGCAACATGTGCAATGGTTGATAGCAAAAATGTAACAACTTCCTAATTGTCAAACTAAAGAGATCAAGATATGTCGTTTTCTTTCTTTGCTTTTTGCAACACATTGACTTCACACACTTTTCTTTCTTCAAGGCTAAATCACTTGTATATTCCTTCTTGATTAAGAGCCCATTTGGATTGGCTTATTTTAAGTGCTTTAAGCCAAAATAGCTTTTAAGTCATTTTGTAGTGTTTGAATAAAGTGAAAAAGTGCTTTTAAGCACTTATTTTTAAGCTAAAATGACAAAAATAAGCCGAAAGCCAAAAGCTAGAATTCCTAACTTATGACTTTTGGCTTAAAAGTCACTTAAAACAAGCTCATCCAAACGGGCTCTAAGTCATATAAGATCAGGCATACTATTTGAAGCCAGATACAAAAAATAAAATTCTTCTTCGACTATCTGGAATAATTTCTTCTCTCTCCAAAAAACATTAACGATCAGTATTCCAATCTGAATTTTCTTTCCATTAGCCACCGAAAAATACTCTTAATAACAGAATGTAAACATAACGTTTCTCCAGGGCAAGAAATATCACGCTGTTATAATCGCGGATGGTTGAATGCATCGTCATAGAACAATGTCTTCTAGAGATACAAAGGCACCAGCCCTTTGGAAGTTGTTCTCGCATGGTGATTCGTTATGTTCACAACATTTGGTATCAAAATTATTTTGTTTAAATAATTAATTGATAACTCAAGTCAAACATGACTTGATTAGTTTTCATTTCTGATATCTTTTCCGTGCACCATTTCACAATTAGATCCAACGTGGTAGGAAGCCAGACCTTAGGGTAAGGGTGGCAAGTGGGCCCGTTAGACCCGGGACCGGCCCAGGACCGCGAGCCCATATGGGTACTGGGCCTAAACGGTCCTACCCGTTTAAGCCCGTCACAAAGGAGACATACTGGCCCATGTGGGCTGGTTCACACGCGAAGCCCGTTAGGACCAGGACCGTTTGGCCCGGGACCGACTCCTAAGTGGGTCGGTCCTAACCGGTCCCAAACGGTCCTTAAAAAAAAAATTCTCAAATCAAAATCTGACCGTTGCACCTTTAAAATTTAGCCGTTATGGCTGCCAAAATAGCCGTTGGCTATTTATAAAATAGCCATTCAATCCCCTCCTCCCCTCCACCCCCCTCCTCCAACTTTATTTTAACCCCAAGCTTTTTATAATTACACTTTTTCCCTATTTTCAACTATAAATACCCCCTCATTCTTTCATTTTCTTCACCAAATCTTTAATCTCTCTCTAATTTTCTTCTAAAATTGGTTATTTTGTTGTTGCAACTTGTGTGAAAAATTATGAAGTTGGTGAATTGAAGTATTCAAGTCTTCAAGTCTTCAACGATAATTAATTTTAACAAGTTGTTCGTCAATTCGGTAAACACGTTCCAACTCTTTAGTTTTAATATTATAGTTTTGTTTGTTTTATTTAATTACTTTGTATAATTATAATTAAGATGTCCTATTCCTTAAAAAAAATGTTTAGTAAAAGCTTCTTTTCCGCCACCACCAACGGAAATTCCTTTGAATATCTTTTTACAAAATTTTGTGTTTTAAATTTGAATTAAAAATTTTAAGTCACAATTATATAATATAATTTACAAGAAAATGCCTTAGATAAAAAAATTTAAACAAATAAATAGCCCAACATATTATATATATATATATATATATATATATATATATATATATAAGCTATATAATTTACAAGAAATTGTCTTAGATAAAAAAAAACTTTAAAAAAATAGTCAAGGCCCATTTAGGCCCATGTAGGCCTGTTTAGTACCGGGCCCGGCCCACATAGCCTGGGACCATTAGCACACGGTCCTGGCACGGTCTGGTTACACCCAAAAGCCCATGAAGCCCGGATCTGTTTAAGCCCGGCCCACGAAGACCGGGTCCGTTTAAGCCCGACCGTTTAAGCCCGGACCGTGAAGCCCGTTTGGGACCGGGCCCGGACCGTTTGCCACCCTTACCTTATGGTGTCGTTGAATAGTTAAATTCCTTAAGATTGTTGGTATTACTGTGTTCAAAATCAGAAATCAGAGAAGCAAACAAATGTTAGTTCAATAAACAAATCGTAAAATAATTTCGAGCCCATTGAATTCAGAGTGTGTCCTTAAGGAATTTAATCCCCTCACTGTTGCCCAAGGTTATGGATCAATTCCTCACATGATAGAACGGAATAACTATTCTGTGATAGCGGCACTACAAATCACAGAACTTCAGCGAACTCAACAAACAGAGCAAATCACACTTAACACTTATATTTATTTGGAAAATAATGCAACAACGTAGAAAAGAGGGAAGAAGTTTTCTGATTTTTCATATCTGAAAATGAGGCCATGCCTCTAAATTTATAGATAAAGGAAAAGTGATATGGAGATATACAATCCAAAAGATACCTCTTCCATTTCCTATTCACACTCTTTAAAAAAAAAAAACGCAACAACTTGAACATTTGGTCATGCAATACTAATTATCTGATGCCCTTCTGCCTTGGAAAGAAGTAGCGTTATCGGCCTGCTCCTGTTTGGGCTGTGCATGGTAAATGATGAATTACCGTACCGAAATTGAAATTTTGGTATATAGTATTTGGTATTTTGGTATTTGGTTTAAGTTTTTAAAATAATTTGGTATTAGGTATGTTATTTGGTCTTTTAAAAAAATAATACCGAAATACCGATACCGTACCGAAATATCTATTAAATTACTCATTACATATACTATTGATTAGCGTACAAAATTACACAATACTTTTCTTTGGTATTCATGTTGAGGTTGACAGTAAAGCCCATGTACTTCTTTAAGAAAATGGAGGAATAAGGTAGGATGCAGATTCTAATGCTTACTCTCTAGGTTGTCAAGCAGTTTAACGTAATATTTCAACGGTTTAAGGTATTTCTTAATCTGTTACTCCTGCATAGTTGTTGCATATGTTGGATTAGTCATTGTCGTATTCTCTAATTTCACCAATTAATTCTAAGCAAGTAACGTGATATTTTCAAGGATCAAATGTATTTCTTTATGTACCTTTTCTGCTCTAAGTTGATACTTGATGGTTTTGGACAAAGATTTTGTCAACAGTCAGGTGAACTTAGAACGTTCTCATTAAGTATTTTAATTAAGAATATTACAGTCTATGGCTCTATGTATTAGTTAATATTCATGCTGAATAAACCGAAATTACCGAACTGAATAAACCGATCATCGAAAGGAGAAAAGCCTAACCATACCGAATGTAATTAGGTATCTTTAAGAAACCAAATATCGAAAATACCAAACCGAAATAACTAAATATCGCATTGTACCGACCAACGAACACCCTTAGCTCGTGTAATCTCCTCACTTTAATTCCTTTCTTTAAACAATCAAAAGAGAACCAAATTTAGGGGGATTTTGCTCCTACTCATAATCTGTTTTTCACAATATGGACCGATCATTAGATTATAAATATGAATAATGAACATTCAAATTTCACTTTTGTGGAATGTAATTAAACTAATACACGAGGAAATATACTGATTTCCAATATAATATGTCGAGGCAAAGTTGAGCTGATTGGTTTCTAACTGGTAGAAGAAGAATGGCTTGTTGAAAGCGTCCTAATAACAACAATCACGTGCTTAAACTTTCTGACTGAATATAATATGACAAAATTATAGCTAATATTTGTCTAAGAGCCCGTTTGGCTTTCGAAAAGTGCTTTTGTTCAAAAGTATTTTTTGAAATATTATTTTTGAAAAGTAGGGATTTGTATTGGAATAATTTATTTAAGCATTGCTTTTTGCAAGTACATTATGTTTGACCAATTCATTTGAGTAGTTTTTTTAAATACATTGTGCATATTGTGTTTGACAAATTTTTCCAAAAAGTACTTTTAAGTACCAAATACGAAAAAAAGATATTAAAAGTTCAACTTGCAATTCGTATTATTTAAAAAAGGGGAATGAATTTAATTTTTTGTTATAAAGTCATCTATAATATAATACACAAAATAAAAATAAATATTGAAGATTCTAATCAATATAGCTATTCCAAAGTAACAACATTGAGTATCTAGTATTAAATTGTTTATATGATAATTTAAATATATCAAAATACATCATTAATATAAATAAAAAATTGTTTTTATGAGACTAATTCAAAAAGGAATAGAAGAAAAAGAATAAAATATGATTGAAATAAATAAGAGAAGAAAGGCGTGGTAGAAATAAAAAGGAAAAAAAAAAAGAAAAAAGTTAAATTAGTGAGGGATAATTAAAAAAAAAAGGGAAGCCTGGTGCACTAAGCTCCCGCTATACGCGGGGGTCCCGGGAAGGGACGGACCACAAGGGTCGTCTATTGTAAGGTTATTTTTGTTTTGAATAAATTAATTTTCTGTTTCTGCTTCTACTTCTTGAAAGAAGTTAGAATTTGTATCTTCTGATGCTGCTCAAACACGCTTTTTCATTTTGGCCAAACACTACAAATTTTCCAAAAGCACTTTTTTTCTGACAAAAAAGTCCTTTTGGCCTCCCAAAGCTTGGTCAAACAAACTCTAGGGAGATGTCTAAGAAAAGTTGTAAGGAAGATTTTAAAATGAATCCACTTTGTACAAATATTTGATTTATATGAAGATAATTTGCGCTGATCTTTTGCCATGATGATTGAATGATTTTCATCTTCATACAGATAGTACTAATATACGGGTCGATCATTAATATTATAATATATGGGCAATGGCATAACCATAGACAAATACACACAAATGAATAATAGACACTGCATCATATTAATACAAAAGGTAATGGACAATCAATGTATAACAATCACTGAGTACAAATGATATGATATATCAGTAAGAATAATTCTGGAGATTAAAACGACAAAAGGAAAATGAAAATGGAAACATCAAATGGTAGAGACCAATGGGGTAAGACATTATTAATTGGATGGAGGAGGTGAAAGTTTAGGCATATTGGGAATATTGGGAATGGTTGGAAGTGAAGGCATGTTTGGAATAGGATTAATAGCAGGCATTGGTGGCAGACTCATCTTCGGAACAGCCGGCAAAGTAGGCAAAGATGGTACACTTGGCAATGGTGGCAATGTAGCTGCAGTTGGCAAATTTGGAATTGTAGGTAACTGTGGCATTGTTGGCTGAGGCAATGACGGGATCGTAGGCAAGTTCGGAAGTTGAAGTAGGCCGCGAGCAGCATGTGTTGTAGTGATTCTTGATAAGGACAATAATGCTATGATCAAGAAAAGGATTGAGTAGTTGATGGAGGAAGCCATTGTCAATAGAAGTATGTGTGTTTTGACTTAGTTTGCTCGATTGCTTTGTGTTCCAAGCAAATTCAGTTGTGTTTTGTTTGATCATCTCTAAAGGGTATATATAGGGAAAGTTCTTGAGGGTCTATATGAGGATATGATGAGACGTTGGGTGAGGAAGCATATGCAATGAATTCTAAAATTCTATTGTTAGTTAACCCTCTCTAATGTTGGTTTGAGAAAAATGCACCAGCTTTCAAGTCAAGAAGTTTTGTGAAAAAGTAGTTATGCATCGATGAAATTTGGATCAACCATATTGGTGAACTATTGATACAATATTAATTGATGAAATCATTTAAAAAAAAATTAAACTAATATTCTATATCGGTTGGCACCATGGAGATGTTTGCTTGCCTACTAATGACGGTCAAATAACTAATCAGCTCAACAATATTGTGAAGTCTAACACTTTAATTTCCATGTTTAATGTTGACCTTGGGAGAATTAAAATGCTTGTTAGGAAGCTAAATCTAGTAATACTAAACTCATAATTATTCTTCCTGCTAGATTAAGCAAATCTATGTGTTCTTTACTTATTAGGAAGAAGTAAAAGTTAGGGTTCATTTCTTGTCGCAAATATTTACCTGTAGCATATGACATTTTAATGGATTGACGTATTTTTTCTACCGCGTGTATATTTCCATAATGATGGTATTTTTTCACAATCAAATTTTGTTGTTCATCATCTTGAACTAGCCATCACTCGAAAGGTATTGTTATGAAAATTAACGAATGTAGATATATCATATTTGAACATTTGCTCGATATTGGTATCCTGCTCCTATAATCTCCTCACTTTAATTACTTTCTTTAAACAGGCCAAAGGGAACCAAGTTTAGGGTGTGATTTACTCCTATTTATTGACAACAATGTAAACGGTTAAAATCGGACCTTCCCGATTTTACTATATGACTGAGACTCGGGAATTGCATCGAGGGTCAGCCTCGTAGTGGATCAGACCAGAGCACGAAGACAAGGTATCGAGTTCGAGAATCGAGGTGCCTTTCGAGATCGAGACCGGCATCGATCTAGACCAAATATGGCAGACTTCGAGCAAAGCGCAATAACGGAAAAGCGAGATATCCGTGACAGCTCGAAGATCACGGTGGAAATCCCGGAACAGATCAAATCAAGGGCGATTGTTTAGGCTAAGCAAGGGATTTACTTCCGTAATTAGAATTGTACCATAGGTATGATTCCTCTACTATATAAAGAGGGTTCTAATCATTTTGTAAACATCTTATATTCACGCATATCAAAGCAATACAATATTCTCTCTTTAGCTTACACTCTTTTGTTCACCAGCTTGTCATATTTTTTTACTATTCTTGCACCAATCAGTTCAAGGGCATCCGAGCTCGAAAGCTGAATTATGTTGTAACATTGGTTTGCTTTATCTTATTGTCAATTTCGATTACTAATCTTTACATTTGTCTATTGGTATTAGGTGAAATCACGTGTCGTCAAAACCATATTATAAGTTCAATTGTTATCCAGTTTTTAGGGTAAATAGTTTGGCGCCTACCATGGGGCTAAGGATAATAATGATAGCTTGGTATCAATTCTCGTAACACACACTACTTTACGCTTGCTCTTGTGAGTGTTTTTGATTTCAGGATCAACATGTCTAACTCAAAAGAAGTACCCACTCACGCCGATAACGGCCTTGGTTTCCATGGAGAAAACGATAATGTAGCCGCCCCAGGGATGGAAGTGCCTCAAGCTGGCCATGAGGGAGTACCGATCGCAGACCCCGTCGATGTCAGTTCGCACGTTGCCCTAAATGCAAATCTAGGCGTCGACCCTGGAAATAGTGTCCATGGAGATGTCCGAGCAGCCGATCAGAATGCACATAGCGGTGAAGAAGGCAGAATTAGCCTTCGAATGATATTCGAAACGCTGCAGACTTAACAAACTACGATAGCGAAACTCCAAAATCAGAATCGAGCACCAAGAAGAATCGAGCTCGAAACATCACAGAGGTTGTTCATAGAGTCGAACCTGTACCGAAGAAATCAAACGCCAATAAATCGGGGACTGACCCCGCCATTATGAAGATGCTGGAGGAGCTCACTAAACGGATTGAGTCAGGTGAAAACAAAACCGAGGCAAATGATAAAATGGTAGAATGTACAATTCCCAGGTTGACCAAATACCGGGGGCACCACCAATTCTAAAAGGTTTGGATTCGAAGAAGTTTGTGCAGAAGCCTTTCCCCCCAAGTGCAGCTCCGAAGCGTATCTCGAAAACATTCCGCATGCCAGAAATTACCAAATACAATGGAACCACCGACCCTAATGAACATGTCACTTCTCATACGTGCGCAATAAAGGGGAATGACTTAGAAGATGACGAGATTGAATCCGTTCTATTGAAAAAGTTTGGTGAAAGTTTATCGAAAGGGGCAATGATATGGTACCACAATTTGCCGCCCAACTCCATCGACTCCTACGCCATGCTTGTTGATCCCTTCGTGAAGGCAAACGCAGGAGAAATAAAGGTTACGACTAGGAAATCGCACCTCTTCAAGGTGAGACAAAAGGACAATGAAATGTTAAGGGAATTCATATCTCGGTTCCAGATGGAATGCATGGACCTACCCCCGGTCACAGATGATTGGGTTGTTCAAGCTTTTACTCAAGGTTTGAACGAACGAAGTTCGATAGCATCATGACAACTAAAGCAGAACTTAATTGAATATCCAGTTATAACCTGGGCCGATGTAAATAATCGATACCAGTCAAAGATCAGGGTCGAGGATGATCAATTGGGAACTCCTTTTGGTTCTGTTCACCCAAATAGGCCCGTCAGTCGAATTCAAAGGGACATCGACAGAGAACCCCAATCAATAGAGATCGTTATCAACCATGTAATGCATATCGTAGAAATAGCAGCCCATGACGTAATCCCATTCGAAATGATCGAAGGAATGATCGAGGACAGAGCTCCCGAGGGCTCATGAGAAAAAATGTCTTTGATAAACATGTCGAGCCGCAGAAGCACCACAACTTTCAGAATATAACTTCAGCATCGATGCATCAGGTATTGTATCAGCCATTGGACGGATCAAGGATACTAGATGGCCCAGACCCCTACAGACCGATCCAGCTCAAAGAAACCCTAATCAAATATACAAATACCATGGTACCTATGGTCACAAAACCGAAGACTGCAGACAATTGAGGGAGGTGGTAGCTCGTCTATTTAACGAGGGTCATCTTCGAGAATTCTTGAGTGACCGAGCTAAAAATCACTTCAGAGACAAGGATGCAAACAGAAAAAATGGACAGAAAAAACCACAACACGTAATTCATATGATCGTTGGTGGGGTCGATATTCCTCAAGGACCGGTATTTAAACGCACCACAGTAACAATCACGAGGATAAAGCAAACTCAGGATTACCTACCAGAAGAAACCTTGTCTTTCAACGACGAGGATACAGAAGGGATCGAACAACCTCACAACGACGCACTGGTAATATCTGTCCTTATGAATAAAATTCAAGTTAAACGTGTGTTGATTGATCCAGGTAGCTTGGCAAATATTATTCGATCAAGGGTCGTAGAGCAACTCGGCCTCCAAGACCAAATCGTGCCCATAGCTCGGGTACTTAACGGCTTCAACATGGCAAGTGAAACCACCAAGGGGGAAATCATTTTGCCAATAAATGTGGCTGGGACCATCCAAGAAATGAAGTTCCATGTGATCGAAAGTGACATGAGGTACAACGCGCTGCTCGGAAGGCCTTGGATCCATAATATGAGAGCAGTACCCTCGACGCTTCATCAAGTCTTGAAATTCCCAACATCAGAAGGAATCAAAAAGGTGTAGGGTGAACAACCCGCTGCCAAAGAGATGTTTGCAATCGATGAAGTAGTACAAGTATCGGCACTTTCATCAATAAAAGGGATCGTAGTCGAAGGGAAAACAAGAAGTCAAATAGCAACCACAGTCATCGGCCTCGGCCCGATCGGAGGAGCAGGAAACTTTCGAGGATGAAGATTATATGATACCTCGAACCTTCACAATCCCTGATGATTCTAATGCAACGAAGTCAACAGTCGAAGAGCTGGAACAAATCATACTAATCGAGCATCTGCCCGATCGAAAGGTATACCTGGGCACGGGGTTAACTCCCGAGATCAAGGAAAAACTCATTAAATTCCTTATAAAAATTATGGATTGTTTTGCTTGTTCCCACCTTAACATGACAGGGATCCCACCGGAGATTACTACCCATCGGTTGATCTTGTATCCAAAGTTCCGACCAGTGAAGCAAAGAAGAAGGCCCCCGTCCGAGGTTAAACATGCATTCATCAAAGACGAGGTAACCAAACTTCTCAAAATAGGGTCCATCCGGGAGGTAAAATATCCTCAATGGCTAGAAAATGTAGTCATAGTCCCTAAAAAAAGGAATAAACTTAGAATGTGCGTAGACTACAAAGATATAAACAAAGGATGCCCTAAATATTCCTTTTCTTTGTCGAATATCGATCGTATGATCGATGCCACGGCCGGCAATGAGATCCTTAGTTTTCTTGATGCCTACTTTGGGTATAATCAAATACGAATGAACCCGGAGGATCAGGAAAAAACTTCGTTCATCACTAAATACGAAACTTATTGCTATAATGTAATGTCGTTTGGACTTAAAAATGTTGGTGCTACTTATCAACGCCTAGTCAACCGAATGTTCGAAGAACAAAAAGGTAAATCAATGGAGGTTTATATTGATGACATGCTAGTTATGTCCCTGCGAGCAGAGGACTATTTAAAACATTTGCAGGAGACCTTCAACATACTAAGAAGGTATAACATAAAGCTCAACTTGAAAAAATATGCATTTGGGGTCGGTTCGGGCAAGTTCCTCGACTTTAGGGTTTCAAATCGAGGGATCGAAATCAACCCCGATAAAATTAAGGCAATCGAAGACATCACAGTTGTTGATAATGTCAAGGTCGT